TAATGTTTATTTATTTCTGAGAGAGAGAGAGCACATGCAAGTAGACAAGGGGCAGAGAGAGAGGGAGACACAGAATCTGAAACAGACTCCAGGCTCTGAGCTGTCAGCACAGAGCCCGACACGGGGCTCCAGCCCACGAACCGCAAGGTCATGACCTGAGCCGGAGTCGGACGCTTAACCAACTGAGCCACCCAGGCACCCCAAAACTTTTTGTTCTTAATGCACCAGAAAGTGTGGCAAAGGGGGGACTATTGCAGTCTAGGATTTGGGGGGCAGGGACTGGGGTCCCTGAGCTTCCCCTGAACTGATTCCCGTTTTGACCTCTTCTGGACTCTTTTTCCAGCTCTCATGAATGAGGATGTGAAGCTCACGATTGTTCACACAAGAATTGCTTAAAGTCTCGCTCATTGTGGTTTTCTTTATATTTGCATGTGACGGTTAATTTTCACTGCTAGGAACTTTGTTATATAACTTCCAACGTCATTAGTGGATGCTTGTGGTTAAAAAGTCCTGTGTCCTTTAAAGAAATTCTTAAGTGCTGTTTTGCCTCAAAACAAAACGAAAAAAACCCCAAAAAACATAAATACGTAAAACAAAATCTCCTAAGTGCTATTTTGTTTTTCTGCGATAAAAATTGTTCTTGTAAAGTCTAAGGAAGATGATCATTTTTTATGTCTGGTTAGCATTTATGACATTTGCTTATAAATTTTCAGTCTTGTGGTAGCCTTTGTTCTCAGGTTTCTAAAGTTGTTTTATGTGTTTGTGACATCTTTTGTCATTCTTTTCCAGAGAATTCGGTCAACAGTGGATGAAAAAGAACAAAAACAACTTCTTATGGATTTGGATGTAGTAATGCGCAGTAGTGACTGCCCGTACATTGTTCAGTTTTATGGTGCACTCTTCAGAGAGGTAGGAGCAAACACTTTGGGGTTTTAGCCAACGAATAAATATCGAACTGGAGTAGATAAGAGGATGACAGGCTTAGGGTCTGATCTTCAGTTAATTGCCATGCATTAGCAGTAAGCTAACTGCTCAATGTTTAGTGTGTAACCGTGAGAGTCTACGTATTAATTTCCAGCACTCACCATTCCTCAGTTAAGGGACGAATCTCGTACTTTTTATATACATATATGTATTTATGGCTGTTGTATGTGAATCCCGTATTTCCTTTCTTAGAGTTTCTGTTCTTTAAGAACCTGGCAAATCAGCCGACTTCTGAATATTAACCCTCTACCGTGGGTTAAGTTCTTCCTGTTGTTGACTCTGAACTCCCTTGGTGTTCCCCCCGCCACCGTCCCCCTTTTGAAACTTTATTTCTGTCATCAGATGTATCTGCATTTAACATAAGCATTTACTCGTCCTCCTCCAGAACCCTCCGTACAACCCAGGTGGAAATAAACAGGCATAATAGAAATTCTTTCTTTTATCAAATCTCCTTATCCAGAGCTGTTTGTAGAAACTGCATGGTCTCGGATGGTCTTGGGCTCACGTGTCTTCTTTCGGCCTCTGGGTATTTTGCGTCCTGCTGAAGGTTGTCACTTCTGTCATTTCCAGTCCTTCCACTGCCTGACATAGGGCAGAGAGTTAGGGCGGTGGGCGGGACTGGAGCTGGGCTTGGATCAGATACTTTCTGGGGTCTGGGACAGTCCTCACGCACTTAAGGTATTTAGTTAGGTGAGTAGGACTTCAACTGAATGAACCTTTAAGCACTTTTTGTTTTTTAATGTTTATTTTTGAGAGATAGAGAGACAGAGCACAAGCGGGGAAGGGGGTAGAGAGAGAGGGAGCCACAGAATCCGAAGCAGGCTCCAGGCTCTGAGCCGTCAGCACAGAGCCTGATGTGGGGCTCGAACCCATGAACTGTGAGATTATGACCTGAGCCGAAGTCGGATGCTTAACCGACCGAGCCACCCAGGTGCCCTGAACCTTTACGCACTTTTAATACTCTGTAAAATACCAATCTAATTTCTTTTTAAAGTTTATTTATTTATTTTGAGAGAGAGAGGGAGTGTGAGAGAGCGCACACGAGCTGGCAAGGGGCAGAGAGAGAGAAAGGAGAGAGAGGATCCCAAGCAGGTTCTGTGCTGTGAGCACAGAGTCCAGTGCAGTGTTTGAACGCCTGAACCATGAGATCATGGCCTGAGCTGAAATCAAGAGTCGGACACTGACCCGACGGAGCCACCCAGGCGCCCCAGTACGATTCTCATTTTGAAAATGTTAGGCCAAGTTTGTGCTGGTGGGGTCGTTACGAGCTGGTGAGGAGCCCCCTGCTCCTCCTTTTTGGGACTGGATCACAAAGCATGTATGTAGCCTTGGGGGTTTTGTCGTGGCTCCTGCCTTAAAAAATACTGTGTCGTGAGACAGCACTGACTGTAGCCCTGACTAGAAGTGTATCAAATCTTGTCGCGCAGAGGTTAGTCAATTGATTCCCCCACTCGATCCCTACATTTGCATTTACTTGCTTTTCTGTGCTTTTGATGGGTGACTCTGTCAATGGAATCCTGCTTCATGATCGCGCCCGCTGCTTGGTTGAATCCGTAACTCATGACTGTTAAGTCTAGTTTCATGCAGTTTCTTTCTACTCCTGTCCCTGTACTTTTTATGACTCAGATATTCGTTTTTGTGGCCAGACACACCGAATCTGTTGACTTACTTCACCAAAGCACATCGGTTGTGTGTCACGACAGTGTGCAGTTCTGTGTTCGGGAATGTCCTTAAGTGTTACATAATATCGTGCCGTTGTAAGATCACATCTGGAACTTTCTTCGTGTCGCCCAAGGCTCTTGCCATCTCCTCCTCCCTTCTTCCCCCAGACCATGGATTTATTCTTCATAATCACTAAATCCTCTGGCCGTTTTACTCTTCAGATCATATGCAGGGTGGGAGTTGTTGAGGGACTCGACTAGAGGTTCTGTCCTAACTGCGTTCCACGTCCGCTTTCCCAGGGCTGTATTCACTGCTGCTCTGGACTCCTGCCGGCTCAGTCTTAGCCCAGAGTGCTGGCACATGCCAGCCTGTTTCCTGTGGCCACTGTTTCATCGTTCCCGCAAGCCACACTTCAGTGCGTAACCCCGGCCTACACAGGGTGGACGTCTGATTTTACGAATAGAAGGCCGAGTGATACCCATGATTGCAAAGTATCGGAAACAACACAGAACAGCTTGGAATAGGGTCTGAACAGTATGCTCATCTTTTCTTATCAACAGCTGGGTAAAATTCAGTTTTATGTATCTCAGGGAGGTTGCAAGGAGTTGAGACATGCAGCTGTAAGCACAAGCATCTATCGAACATTCTAGAGTTTTCACGTGTATTCTCTTGGTAACAGTCTCAGGGGGCTTAGAGGCATTATCCCCCTTCTCCAGAGAGGAGGCTGAGGTTTGAGGACTGATTTGATGGGCATCACATAGCCAGGAAGTGATAGAGATGAGACTTCACGGGCAAAAATCTCACTGTTATTTCTGTGATGGAATAAGTGGTCCAGGGATGAGGAACTTTTCAGCTTCATTTAAAAAAAACAATCTGCTGGGGCACCTGGTGGCCCAGTCGGTTAAGTGTCTTACTTGGGCTCAGGTCATGACCTCGTGGTTCGTGGGTTCGCGCCCCGCGGCAGGCTCTGTGCCGACAGCTCGGAGCCCGGAGCCTGCTTCGGAGTCTGTGTCTCCCTCTCTCTCTGCCCCTCCCCTGCTAGTTCTCTCTCTCTCTCTCTCTCTCTCTCTCTCTCTCTCTCTTTCAAAAATAAGTAAAGGGATGCCTGGGAGGCTCAGTCGGTTAAGCACCGACTTCGGCTCAGGTCATGATTTCATGGCTTGTGAGTTCCAGTCCCACATCGGGCTCTGTGCCGACAGCTCAGAGCCTGGAGCCTGCTTCGGATTCTGTGTCTCCCTCTCCCTCTGCCCCTGCCCTGCTCGTGCTCTGTCTCTCTGTCTCTCTCAAAAATAAATAAACATTAAAACATTTAAAAAAAACTAAAGATAAAAAAGCAATCTACTTTTTAACATTGATACAGTTCAGTTGTATAAAGTCCCAAACTGCCCCAACAGGCTGATCGTCAACTTCCCTCCACTCCCACCGCCAAGAAGTAATGCGGACTTGCTGAATAATACAAAATGAAATTCAGAAGCAAAAAGTTCACCTTTAAAGAGTGCATGGGCAGCGTGTTTCCTGATGTTACAAAGGTTAACGTTTTAAACAGATTAAATAAAGGTTTAGAGGAACATTTTTCTCTCCAGGGTGATTACTTTTAGGATCTTTTTAATGATGTGACCTTCAGTTCCAATAATAGACCCAGAATTCTGGGTTATGAAGGGAAAAAGCAGAAGTGAGTGGATGCGGTCTGGACTTCTTTTTTTTTATTAAAAATTTTTTTTAACGTTTATTTATTTTTGAGACAGAGAGAGACACAGCACGAACGGGAGGGTCAGAGAGAGAGGGAGAAATAGAATCTGAAACAGGCTTCAGGCTCTGAGGTGTCAGCACAGAGCCAGACGCGGGGCTCGAACTCATGGACTGTGTGAGATCATGACCTGAGCCGAAGTCCAATGCTTAACCGACTGAGCCACCCAGGTGCCCCTGGATTTCTTACTTAACTACCGCTGTGAGGAAGACAAATCGCTTTTAATTCCCGTCACCTTGAGGAACCCACCAGAACATTTCATTTCATAATTTGTATCCCCCATAGGACATCGGTTCATGGTCTGGTTCAGTCAACCATCCATCAAGGAGCTTGCAAGACATTAATTTTCTTCTTGCAGCTGCTGCGAGATTAATCTTGCTGTTGGGGGAATAATTGAGCCTCTGAAAGTCCCATAGCTTTACTCAGACAGTGAGTGAATAATATTTCATACTGAAGTTTGTAACTCTTTTTTAAATTTTTTAATGTTTATTTATATTTGAGAGAGAGACAGAGCGTGAGAGGGTGGGGGTTCAGAGAAGAAGGCACAGAATCCAAAGCAGGCTTTAGGCTCTGAGCCGTCAGCACAGAGCCCGACGTGGGGCTCGAACTCACAAACTGCGAGATCATGACCTGAGCTGGAGTCGGACACGTAACTGACTGAGCCACCCATTTGCCTCTGTAACTCAGTTTTTTGCCATTGTCTCCAACCATTTGCATTTCTTTCTATGGTAGAACTGAACTCAAATAAAAAGCCCAAACTACAACTTGGATTTGATGTAGATATGTTACTAAGACACCTAATTGCATGGGTTTCTCAACACGTTTTCATACTTTGTAGACGGGAAAACAAAGAGTTTGACAGCATTGAATAATAAACGTAATTTCTAGTCTGTAGCTTGCGTCAAAAGGTCCGCACCTGCCATTTATTTTATTAACGCTGAAACCTAGAATCACTTAAACAAATGTCCTTTAACATATATATTTTCACAATTCACTGAGTGGAAGTCCTTCCTTCAGGTATCTTTTGAGGTTGGAGAAATTCTAGTCTGGAACATACACTTCTGAGTAACCATAGAAGTTCACCGGATTATATGGAAGGCAGTGACATTAGCTGAATTTCATCTCCTTCTCGCTTTCTACCCCTGCTGCTACTCATGCTCTTTACTTCTCGCTTGCAAATTTTAAGTACAGCTTTATGGAGATAGAAGGGACATACACTAAAATGCACATATTTAAAGTGCACAGTTTCATATGTGTGAACAAGTGTATTCACCTGTAGGATTATCACCGTAATCAAGATAACTGGAGGGGCGCCTGGGTGGCGCAGTCGGTTAAGCGTCCGACTTCAGCCAGGTCACGATCTCGCGGTCCGTGAGTTCGAGCCCCGCGTCGGGCTCTGGGCTGATGGTTCAGAGCCTGGAGCCTGTTTCCGATTCTGTGTCTCCCTCTCTCTCTGCCCCTCCCCCGTTCATGCTCTGTCTCTCTCTGTCCCAAAAATAAATAAACGTTGGAAAAA